CAAGAATGAGGATTAGTGAGAACCGAACTCGGTTGTTCGAACTTCTCGATTTTTGTCTCGATAATCTACGACTTCCTCTGGACGCTCTCTCAAACTCTGGTGGAAAGTCGATTTACCCCACTGTAGAGAATATAGCCTGCATTCACGGATTACCCTCCCGTCGGTTCGTCATACCGAATTGAACATAGTCAAATATCTTAGCAAAAACCAAACTTTAATTACACTTCATCGTGTACGGTAGAAACTCAATCCTATGCAGTTAACATTCTTCTTATCCTTCCTTGCCCACTTTCGAACTCCACCACATCTCTTCACTAACTCTACCGTCGTCCCATCTCTATTCTGACTCGCCTTTTTCAACTTTCGTCCCTCTCTCCCTGTTTTTTACAACCCCTTTCTACTCTTGTTTATTACTTTCACGACTGCGTATAAAGAGGTTGGATATGTGCCTATGAGACCGCAATCGGGAGGAAAAAGTAGATTCAATAAGCTATCACTACACCCACTATTGTAATTGTCGAATTCTCACGAAAAAATTTACGGATATATCAGAGATTGAGTCCTTTATTCGAAGAAGTTTTCCCATCTACATCTCTCTCTAGAGTTGTATGTATTGTCACAACCTCCAGGAGAGTGTGTCCATCACCGTTATTAGACAATTTTAATCGACACACACATACATATATACATATATATATGACTTTCCGGTTCACATTTACTTTCCGTCATGATATCTAAAACTTCCTTCTAATCCAAACAATCATGGTCCTACTTGATTCTCCAACATTTTGTACTGTACGTCTACATAAATCTTGTGAACCCACGGTCATCGGATACGTACAAATTCCTCGGAGCTGAAGCGAGTCCGACTACACAACTAAATAGATCATGAAACACTTTATTTTTGTGAATTTTACGTAGAGAAGTAGTCGTACATTTACGAAAAAGTACAATTTATTGATCTAATATTCCATTCTTATGCAATTTAGACTAGATTACTAGGGTTTAGGAAGAGGGAGAGCCGAATATTTGGGTGGATGAGACAAAGTAGCCTTCCTCTTATACATTCATGTACAGTACGTGTAGATTTCTGTATACCACAATTATCTTGTGATTTGTATATTAAAATATCAATTTATAACAGAATTATGCAAAGAGATTTTCTTTAAGAATTCGTATCTCTGAATTACGCTCTACTTCAAACAATACAGTAGTTCACAGCTATACGGTTTATTCTCTATGTATATATTTACGAATGTTATCAAAATTGTAGCAAAAAAGGAAGACATTGATTTATTTCTTAAAAAGATGAGATAGGTTTTATAAAATAATGTGAAAATTCCAATTAATTGTCTAAATGCAATATAACAATGATATAAATAAAGTAATTATTTAATAAAAAAGCTTTGAAAAATGTAATTCGAGTTCTGGTATAGGGAGGAATGAGTGCATTTGTATCGTTAATATAATACAATAAATACTGCTATTTTATGCCTGAAAATATAACTGGGCTTTCAATTTTCAGATTGCAGACGTATACATTCTCACCGTCGTCTATCCATCTGTCCATCTGTCCTTTGTTAAGGGGCTGTCCGTAAATAACGTCCACACTGGAAGAGAGTTATGACAGTCGGACGAGGGGGAGGGAATAGGTTGAACTTCAATGGACGTTCGTTTTATTCTGTTAAATTTTATACAGTTTATGCATTTTATTATTCATAAAGTGGCAAAGATTTTGAGGGGGAGTTCAGAGGTTCAGAGTAAAGAGGGGTTACAGATACTTGGACAAACTGGGACAATGGTGGAGAGGGAGTAAATATGGACGTAATTTACGGACAGCCCCTAATCTCGAGATCTGAGTTAGATGAAATATAGATGTAGAAATCTTAAGGGCCGGGACTATATACGAACTTCTGATCTGGACCGGAACTCACATGATTTTTTAAATTAGAATAAGATTAAAAATTACAGCTCGGCATTATGACGATGTAATGTAATAAAATGAAAAATCTTTCTAGGTTCAGTACCGAATTTTTTTCTCATTTTATGAAAGTAATTTGCATCGAAGTGAGAAATTTATAAGCCGTAGTTTATGCCCATGTTTTCTTTCATTGCAAGCTCATGTTCGAAATATTACCAGGAAAATTTATAAAATAACAATCCAATTAAACTTCAAATCTAATTTCTGAGCAAAAATCACGTTTTTTTTTTTTTTTAAATATTATTTTACATTATACTTTACACTTTGTATTAGCGACGTGCATATATCGTGTTTTAAATCATTACAGCTGTTTTGGCTCGTAGCCATCTTAATTACGCATCTGAAGATGTTATCGTAGTAAAAACCTTAAAAAAAAAAACAACAAAAAAAACTTGAACATTAAAATTTAGATTAATATAAATTTGTAATTTATTCTATAATTACAACGTTATAGAATTCAATTATTATTTTAAATTTTAATCGTTTCGGTACGAAAATTATTTTGTTATTTTTAAATTTGTAAACAGAAATCAAAGATCGAATGATTTAAATGCAATTTTAATGCATTGCTCTGGAAATCATTAGAATTAATTAGTTGTTAAATAATAATTGTAATAACACGAGAGAAAATAGATTTACAAACACATTGGAATGGTCGCATAATTATTTTATTGAAAATTTACGCAATACCGGGGTGGAAATTTTAATGATTTTTTTTTTTTAAATTACGTGACTTCCGATCGTGACTACGTAAACTATATACGAACTTCCGATCTGGACCGGAAGTTGTATACAATTAATAGGAGCCTTCAACCCCTAATCTTTCCATATTTCATGTATCAAACTTCGTTCTCGAGAAGGACGGACAGACGGACAGACGTACGACAACAATTATAAATAGAAATTTAATAAAATTGTTAATATATATATGACATCGAATTTTTATTGGAATTTATTGTAATAAAGTGAAATATTCTATTATTTATGTTTCCAAAGTTCAAAGATCAATTTTATCAAGTTTGGTACTTGATAAATTTCCGGAATTTCTCAAACAAATTAATAAACAAAAGTATTTTAATCTACGTTTTTATTTACTTTAGATAATAACAAATTAGTTATAATTAAAAACATATTTAAACCTCTGAACAACACCATTGACAAGAAGGTTATTCGAAGGTAGCCGTTATTTAGAGATTATTTTATACATTCGACCCCCCCTATAACACTGTCGATAATTCCGTTTTATATGAATTCTATGTTGTACGAGTCACTTAGATTTTACAAATACGTGTGCCGGGCTGTGAATGGCTCACGTATTTGTAAAATCTAAGTGACTCGTACAACATGGAATTCATATAAAACGGAATAATCAACAGNAGGAAAATTTTTCATTTTGATCTCCAAAGAAAGCAGTGGATTACATATGTTAAGAATATAAAATGAAATTGGTTAGTCAAAGAAAAACATTTTTTTATTACTTTAAATAGCTTGTATATTCCAAGCTATTTAAAAGTAAAATTTGCTTTACTTAGAAAATAAGTAAAGCAAGAATAAATTTTTTTTAACAGCTTTTTGAAAATAAAGAAATCTCAAAACTACCAAATAAATGTATTTCTTTGACTTCTAAATAAGTCTGTTGTTCAATAATTAGTGTTCACTAGGTGGCTCCTCCTCAAGCATATCAGCCTACTGACTCTCTTTATAAAATTCTTCAATTATACATATCCCAAATTAACAAGTGCATCATCAAAATCTACAGATTCCCAGAAAAACTGAATTATTAACTAAAAACTGAAAATATGCCAATTTTACAATAGATGAAGATAGAAAAAAAATCTATTATTCTGAATTATGGGTCTGATGAAAGGAGGTAAAATTACATTGATTTGGTGGGACTTGGAAAAAAAGCCTTTATTCTGAGAAATTGTAGTTCTGTGATTCATTAAAATGAGATTCTACTGTAGTTCAATAAATCCTCAGACTCATGTGGATGGAGAAATAAAAACTATTAAATTTTTTACTAATAAAATGTATTATTATGTACATTTATTTTTCAACCTATGAGCCATTTTGCTCCACACTTTTTCCAATGGCATACAAAATCTTCAAATGCCTTTTTGAAAAATGTTGGAAAACAAGTTTTGAAAAATTTGGTCAGTTCTCCTTCAGTACTATTCAGAACTAGTGAGTGAGGTCTGCAAACTGTATTAAAAATCAAAAGGCATTTTCCTTTTCTTTATTCACAATAGTGCTCCTTTCAAATCAGCCACATCATAAAAATGACAGTTGAACAATGAGATTTCAAGAGCTCCCATGCTCCCAAACAGCTCTGATCTTGCTCTTAGTGACTTTCCTCTGAAGAGCTGGAGAAAGTGTATAGAGCAAAATGGCTCTTACATTGAACACTAAATGTATACAATAATGCCATTTATTAGTAAAAAGTTTAATAGTTTTCCATTTCTCCATCCATGTGACCCAAATATGTATGTTAGATGCAATCTTGTTAAACTAACAGTTTTTATTTTCATATCCATTTGTATTATTTGAAATTTGTACCTTTTTTTCTTTGCACTGATGGAAATGAAAATCAGAATAGTATAAGATGCTGTTTAATTTGTAATTTTTATAAGTATACTAGTTGATTGCCTATCATATATGATAGAATATATAAAATACAATTGCAAAGTCATACTTGTAAAGTTTACTTAGCTATTTCATTATGTTTACAAAGAAAACATAGTCATTTTGTTTGTATTTTTTATTTTTTGCCCTGAGAGTGCTAAGAGGTCTTTTTTATCAAGCCCACAATGGGGCAACCAGGTGATGGAGAATGAAGCTCAAATACCTGGGATGACCACTAGGACTGTTGAGAGCTTATGTAGTACCTAAGGTAGACAGGCCTCGTTTTTTTTAACAAATGAAATATGTAGAATGTTTCTTTGTTAATAAAATGCAGTCTTAAAGATTTTAGTTTTTGTTAGTAAATATAATATTAATTTGTAGAAGTAGGAACAATTACCGGACTGTCTTCCCTCGTAATGGCCCTTCCTATATAACCTATAAACTAATCTATACTAAAAAGTATGACTTACAAATTCAACAGATAAAAAACCTGTGTTAAATGCAATTCAACATTGTTGATCTTGCAAAAACAGTAAAAAAAAAACAGCGTATAAATAGGTCAAAAATGCCAAATTTCGTAAATAAAAACAGAAAAAATAATTCTTATTATCTCTACTATTTATTTGTTAATTACTTTAATTTTTACTAAAATTAAAAATAATTTTTTATGTAGAAATTACTNGGCTGTGAATGGCTCACGTATTTGTAAAATCTAAGTGACTCGTACAACATGGAATTCATATAAAACGGAATAATCAACAGTGTTATAGGGAGGTCGATTTGTATGTATTTTAAAGAGAAATGTTTCTGAAAAAAATGGCCACTGTTTACAGGTTCTAACTAATTTCGTAATTTTTATATTTTATAGGACTATTTACTGTAAAAACCTGTGTAAAACGGAAAAATATTCGGTACCGCGAGAGTCCGGTTTACACAGGTTTTAACTGTACAAACTTTGACTTATATAAGATAAAATATTATATAAAATCAATGTATCTATAACTTTAGTGATAAAATAAATTTTTTTTTCCTCCATTCAATAATCTGTTAATGATTAATAATAAAATGAAATATGGAAATTAATTCAGCAAATCATCATTTAAATGAGTAATTTTGTTGAAAATATCAACAGGAAAATAATGAATTATTATATATAAGTACAGTAACATTAATGGAACAAATATTGTAAACTGGGAACTTAACGATAAATAAAATAAATCAAAATTTAAAAATAGTATTTATTTTAAATTTTGAGAATTGTTGCATATGTTGAACATTAAATGCAGATTACAGTCATATATTTTACCGTTATAAATTTTACATATTTTGTTTTAAAATATATATATTTTTCTATAATGTACTGTACTTCTACCTAAATATTAGGAGAGACGTCTACACATTAAAAAAAAAACATTATAAATTATGTTAATAAAAAAAAATAATTACATGTTTGGACTCGGGAGACCTTGAAGCATCGAGAAATGCAAAAAAATTTGGGTTTTTTTTTTCCCTATATGTATGAATTTTAGTGTGTATATGTATGCACACGCCACTTAAAAGTTTAATAACTCTTGTATTTTTCGTCGAAAATTTCTGAAATTTTGCAGGGAGGTTTATGTATTAGAGGCATTGATGCTATTAAATTTTGGGGGTTAAAGGTCGAGAAGGTTGGGAGATAGAGAGGGTTGAAATTAGTGAAGATTTTACTCGTTATTAGCATTTAAAAATTTTTTTTAAAAAGTAAAACTCATTTCTACCCTTAATTTTTGCCATTTTATAATAATTAATTATATACAAATTTTTAAAAATTATATATTACAATAGATGGAGCCATACTCAATTTCGAAAGTTGTCGCCGGGAAAGATACGCAACTCGTTGCTGAATTTTTAAAGAGTATTTTTGTTTTAGAGAATCTGTACGTAGAGTAAACATATTTGTATTAAATATAATATTTGTGGAAAGATTTGATCAGTTTGCATTAAAAATAATTGTAAATTAATTAATCATTATTTTAAATTAATAATTTAAAAAAAATTAATAAATTTATACACTAATTCTGTTCTTATTTTTTGTAAAATAATATTTTAAATCACAAATATAAGGAGTTGTTCTAACATTTAACACGAATTATGACAAATTTAAATGTATAAACTGTAATAAAAATTACCATTCGAAATCTATAAATCAAATTTCTAATCCTAAATTACAATTTTTTAAAATATTTTTCTTAGTTTTTTTTAATGATGTTTATGATCTTTATAAGCATTCAAGAATGTTCTAAGTAACTTTTAATTAACCTGTTTGGAAAGGAAAACACGAATAATTACTTTCATAACAAACGTGGATAATTAATAATCCTTTATAAAAAAAAAGGATAGGGAATTAATGCATTTTTCATTAAATATTAGATTTAAATTTGAAAAAAAAAATAATTATTATTATTATTTCATCAACAGTTTATTAAAAACCTATTTACAAGACCGTCGAGAGTGTATAGGACCTGGTGTAGAACGGGTCTTTTTTTCCATTATTTTTAATTAAACAAATGAAATACGTAAAAATTTAACTTAATAAAAAAATAAACAGTTTTAAAGATTTTAGTTTTTGTTAGTAAATATAATATTAATTTGTAGAAGTAGGAACAATTACCGGACTGTCTTCCCTCGTAATGGCCCTTCCTATATAACCTATAAACTAATCTATACTAAAAAGTATGACTTACAAATTCAACAGATAAAAAACCTGTGTTAAATGCAATTCAACATTGTTGATCTTGCAAAAACAGTAAAAAAACAGCGTATAAATAGGTCAAAAATGCCAAATTTCGTAAATAAAAACAGAAAAAATAATTCTTATTATCTCTACTATTTATTTGTTAATTACTTTAATTTTTACTAAAATTAAAAATAATTTTTTATGTAGAAATTACTTCCTATTTACGAAACAATATAATATTTTAAAATAAATAAATAAAAACGAAATAATGATTAAATTCGTTGTAAGAGAGTAATTAAATGCAATATGGAAAATCAAGAATATCATCGCCATCTCCCAGGATGTCATAAAAGAATTATAGATGATATAAAAATATTCTGAGGCCTCAATAAACTGTTTATTGATGCCACGGAATATTCGAAAGATGTAGTAGACTATTAAAAACTTGGAATGTCTATTATTAAAATTTGAAAAAAGGTAAGAAAGAGCTTAGAATTTATTCTAGGATCTAAATAGTTTGTTTCTCAGAAAGGAAATTGTCATATAAAATATATTTATTTCCATATTTTGAAGTCATTTCCGGTTTCGTGGGAAGAAGTTACTACGATATTCATTCAGTCATATACGGATTTCCTTTCTATAATACAATCGTTCAAAGATATGCCTATATATATATATATATATATATATATATATATCTTTATGTGCTTTATATTACTGTGTACCGTATTCATATTATATACTGTATATTATGTCTATATATATTGATAATATATATTATAAACCTATTTACGCCTATTACGACACGTGATCCCCTATATCTCCTCACCTTTTCGACCTTTAACCACTAAAATTTAGTATAATCAATGCCCCTAATACACAAACCTTCCTGCCAAATTTCAGAAATTTTCGACAAAAGGCACAGGAGTTATTAAGCTTTATTTTGGGTGCCCCCTCTCTCTCAAACACACACATCCATACATACGAAGAAACCCTCCAATTTTTATTTTATTTTATTTCTATACGTTTTAAAGTCTCCCGAGCCAAAAAATGTAAAAAATTTGGAGGGGGTCATATTTAAAAATTTAAACTTATCTGAAAGTAAAACTGTACAAAAATAGCTTTAGCCTAAACTAAATTATAATATAGTATAAGGCTTTATATAGCACATACATCGTAATTAATTATTCAGCATCATACGCTCTAAATTATATTTAAAATAATTCTATTACGTTAAAAAACTTATAAACAAGGAGCTTTAAGACGAGTCGTCAATAAAAATATTACACGACAACATCGAATTTGTTAACAGACAACTGGTAAAAATACAATGCAAATTACATTACAGAAAGTTAAATATACTCCATCTATCAAGATACGATCTGAAAGTAGAGTTTAAATGCAAAAATAAACGTCTACGATGTATTCTAAATGGAACTCTACATCAAGATTAGTGTTTGTCTGGCTCAGAAATCACACATATACTCTTAAATTAAATGAATAATAACTATCTAAAAGAATATTTTACTCACTCTTTACGTATTACAGAAAGAAATTCGATGAAAAATTTAAATTCTGAAGTCTTCAAAATATAAATTAACTTAAAAAAATGGAAGGAAATATTAAATAGAAATTAAACAAATCGAAAGTTAGAAAGTTTTTAAAAAATTACAATTTGCTTTTATAACTACTTTTATCTTTTCTATACTTAAAAGAATGGGAAGTATGGCTAAAGACAATAGAAAAGATATTGCTTATCTGGCACCGAATCACTGCAACTAATATACATCAACATATTCAGCACTTTTTAAATCAAAGTTACTGTTTTAACATTCTATAATTGTATCGAGAACCGAATAGAATTATTCGTACATTAATAATAATAAACTATTTGTTTATATAATACATTAAGCATATAATATAACTGTATATTTATACAATAATTAAGTTATAGGCCTCTCATTACAGATTCTTAGGTGCCTTTACCTTACATACTCAAGTTTATGTATATAGGATGTATGTAAATGTATGTATACAAATTAAAGTTTTAATCATTTAAAACGATTTTATTAAATAGTTTAATTAAAACCTGGCGTAATTTTATGCGTACAAAACACCCTTTTGTTGATTTAATATAAGAAAATAATAGAAAACGAAATATTTGAATAAAAAAAATGAAGAGGAAATTATCTTAATTTTATCGACGTTTGACTCAATATTTTTGTGTATAATTCTAGAGACGTTATAAATAATTTTTATGGCAAGATCCCATTTATTAAATGGTGGCATCCATGTAGGTTTACGACTTTAGAAATAAAATCGATTTATTAGTGAATTGCCATAATACTGAGATACTCGTGACTTTATATAGCATTATTCCAAATTTTCTTGTAAAAATCTTAAGAAATTCATTTCTTCGTAGATCGAATGATGAAAAGAATACAATAAAGACAAGGCCTTAATTAACTAGAATTAACATAAATGTGGATTAAGAGGGGGCACATAATTCTCTCCAGTTATTAAATTAATTAATCATTACGTCCTCATTAATATTTTAATAAAATTAATAAAAATAACCCATATTAATCAAGACGTTTGTACAGTAAAACCTGTCCAGAACAGAACCTGAATAAAACGGAAACCTCTCAAAGCGAGAAAAACATTCGAGACCGCTCCATTCCGGTTTATACAGGTTTTACTGTAATAAAT